CCGAAGACGATGATATTGACGGAGATGGGATACCAAATGATGAAGATGGTGATGATGATGGAAATGGTATTCCTGATTATATGGAAAAAGATACAGATGGGGATGGCATTCCAGATTACCTAGACGATGATATTGATGGAGATGGAATACCAAATGATGAAGATGGTGATGATGATGGAAATGGTATTCCTGATTATATGCAGAAAGATACAGATGGAGATGGTATTCCTGATTACCTAGATGATGATGTTGATGGGGATGGAATACCAAATGACGAAGATGGTGATGATGACGGAAACGGTATTCATGATTATATGGAGAAAGATACAGACGGGGATGGGATTCCTGATTACCTAGATGATGATATTGATGGAGATGGAATACCAAATGATGAAGATGATGATATTGATGGAGATGGGATACCAAATGATGAAGGTGGTGATGATGATGGAAATGGTATTCCTGATTATATGGAGAAAGATACAGATGGGGATGGTATTCCTGATTACCTAGATGATGATATTGATGGGGATGGAATACCAAATGATGAAGATGGTGATGATGATGGAAATGGTATTCCTGATTATATGGAGAAAGATACAGATGGGGATGGCATTCCTGATTACCTTGATGATGATATTGATGGAGATGGAATACCAAATGACGAAGATGATGATATTGATGGAGATGGAATACCAAATAATGAAGATGGCATTGTTGACATACATGATGAACTTTAGAAGTTATCATAGTTGTTTTGCAAGTAATGAATGAATAATGCACGTGTACCGGGCGCATAACTAGAGATGTGTTTTGTACTGCCCTGGTCTAGTCCAAACATTGTCATAAAACAATGATTTATTGTTGAAGGGATCTATTGTTATCTGTGTTAAATATCAACTTTGTCATGAAATCTGATCTATTATTGTATTCAAATACAACATTACACTAATTTTCAGCATTGATACCTTGACTTGATGGTACATTTGCTACCAGGGGTGTACCTTCACGTGTTATCACTGTGATATGTCAACCAAACTCAATTTTGGTACAACTAGCTGAAATAATTTTCATGATATAAGGTAAAATTTCACTGAAATAATATCATTTGTTAGGCAAAAAAATGAGTGTGCAGATGAGGAAATTTATACTGTTGGTAATGATAACCAGCTGTTAGTAAGGCGGTCTCCGGGATCTGTCAATTAGATAAGTGTATGAACCGGTATGTTGTTTCGAGAGTGTCAAGTTGCAGTGTAGTTTTCAATTTATTGAAAATTGTGCTAGTATTTTATTTTGCTTTTTGATAACTTTTAAACACTTAATGTTTTAATATTCGACAAGGAACATTGAGATAGGTACAACACATTTAGGGAAACATGTTGGCTAGTATTTACTATGCCAAATTTTATTTAGATATGTTGCTGTATAATTAGTTTATAGAAACTTGTCTATAATTATGTTATATTAATCTATAAGTATCCTTCAGATTAATAGAGTAGTACTAATTGAGGGACACGTTGGCCCCAGTATTTTTTTGCCAAATGTTGCTTTATTATTTTAGGAACTGTTGTGCAATTCATGTTATATCAATCTATAAAGGACATGAATACTAATATAGTACATGTACTATTATTTCAAGGAAGATGAATATCAATTATTTTTTATGTAATTTTAATGACATTGTCCCTTGATCAGGCTTGTTCCCACCTAAATTTTAACATGTATTTTCCACGCAAAATGTTTGAATATATTAGTGTATTGTTTAGGGACTTTTATACTAGCTTGTACCATGCAAACACAAACATTGCTAGTTGTTATCCACCCATCCATTTGTTATTCAATCTAGATCGCCAATAGACAAGGTTGTTATTGTTACGCGATGTGGTCTGTACATCACGCTATTGATATTGATCAGTAACAAGGGACAAGTTTAGTGTAAATCTTGTAGAGGTAGGATTACATATGTGAGTTGTGCGAAGTGTCAAAAACGTAAGCATGCAAGAAAACTATCACGTCAAGTCAGTGGATGAAGTTAGCCATGGTTAAAATACTAGCAGAAGGAATGATAGAAATAAGACACGAACAGCTAGAATGGAACAACAAAAGATTGTGTTTTGGATGTTATGCCATATATGTCATCTATGCAAAGGAACAAACTATCCAATGGTAAATGCAAAACGGTGATGCTAGTGGTAAACTTCACAAGCAAAGTACTTTCAAAATTCACCACACCATCACATCGCATAGTGCGGGATTGGTGCATGATTCAACACTTATAGAGTTAATTCTGTTTAAGCCATTTATTTCGCTGTGATGCTGTGTAAATACTTGATTTTCAGTATTATAATGACATAACCTCATATTACACCATTGAATGTATGAAGATTGTGAATATTGTTTTTAATCTTACGGATCTTTTTTCATATGTATATGCCTTATTATGTCGGATATTTTTTGACCCATTTGACAGGACATTAGTGACAGAAAGTATGTGAATTATTTACTATATAAAAAAATGATAATAGGTAATCCTTGTCGTCGGTAATAATTGACGTTTTAGGCAAAATCGTTTTCAATTATATTCAGATTATATATTGATGAAGAGTACTTTACCCGAAACGTCTGGTTATATTAAATAAATTACCAAAGCTTACGATTACCTATAACCATTTACAATGTAATATATTTATCGGTCCTAACAGGTTTCTTTTCTACTGGTAATACAAATTATGTAATGTTTTGACGCACCATTGGATTATACAGTATTAAAGCGGGGGAGTCGTCACGTGCGCATGCGTCAGATGACCGTAGCGTGTCATTGTTTACAAACAAGCGTCTACCCAAGAGCCATTGCGTTTTTATGTGTGTATTATCATGGCTTGGGACTCGATTCTCGCTTGTGACGACCCTCCCGATTTAAGTATTTGGTTTGCAATCTGTCATACAATTCATTGCGTGTGAATGTATGATACTGGCTCTGGGTTGCACGAATGTCTACTGCTAAGGTAATTACATTGGTATTAAAAATCAAGACATTATGTAATTGATTTATACTCGATTTATGAATGAATGTGATGTCAGATATTTATCTTATAACCTGTTATAAGTAAACGGCTGAAGAAGTGAGGAGGGCAGATAGATTTGAATGTTTAGGAATTTTAGTTGATTATCTATGTATTATATATGTAGAATTGATTGTATTGTATTTAAAAAACGATAGGAATATTTGATAGACATTCTGTTAAAAACTGCAATCATCAGGGTTATATTGGTATATCAATGCGCTATTCCCACCATACAATAATTGTATTTGTAAACCATTCAACTGCTGAAATGTGAACATTTGAACACCAAAATAGACTTGCGCAATTTTGTTTCATATTTTTTGGGGGGATCAAGACCTGTCAGATCAAGTCAGTAGTAAGTCTATTTGATCGAAAATTAACATAGATATTCCAAAAAATTAGATATAGCAATTTGCAAAATTTTGCGTCAGAATGTTTGTGTAAATAAAGCATAAGGACATAACGTAATTATATCATAACATAATCATAGTAACATATAAATTATATGTAACAATGCAGTACTAACATTTTTACACTAGTTACATAAGCTTATTGTGTAATGTTATATTGTATCTTTTGTTAACTCTGATACTTTGATCATATATATATTCTAAGGCCATACTTATTATCCGGCCTTTACATTGTAGAGTATATATGTCTTTGATAAAAAACTATTTCCAAAATTGAATGCGTAACATCATCCACAATGTGCCTACATTTTATACATTTACTCTGCACATGCTACTTGACGCTGAATTGACATATCAGATATTGAAAAAATGTATTGTTACCTGCAAAGTCTGCCATACATGTGTGCAAAGACGTTTGTAAAAGTATGATATATGTTTTATTAAACAAAATCTAGGAAAATATTTCTTCGTTTTCTTATATTAAAAGTCGTGGGTAATCAACCGATAAATTGGGGGAAAGAATCATCAATTGGTGCGTGATTAATTATTTATTTCACACTCTTCATCAAACATATCTTATCCAGTAAAACACATTTTTGACGGGATGATCTCTGTTTCACCGATGCCCAAACGTCTTCCTTTCTCACAGCTGGCGGTTGGCAAATATTCAATTCTTCATAGACTTTACCCCGTATCTTGCCAACCCTGTGTACTTTTTTACATTGACTTGGCCATAGAAGGTTTTAACACGTTCCATCCTCAAGCATCAGTAACTTTGCACGACTACTGTTGGTTGTTTTCGCACTAATTTAATAAATCACATGTACAAAGATCGTACCTGATGACGCACAGATTTAAAGGCAAAACCAGCAGTAGTTGTGTGAATTTATTCTATGATTTATCTATTTTAATCTATGACTTCAATGCAGCGAGTATTTGAGAGAAATACACACATCACACCAGGAACTGATAATTCTGAGAAGCCACACCTGTTTAAATCATCGGTCGGATGGAGATCATGAAACAGATATGTTAATTGCCTACCACCAGAGAAAGTGGCGGCTTCAGCATGATTTATTAGTACATCCACTCAAAGACGAGTTTTGTAATAGAGATTTTGAGGAGTAGGATTTACCAATGACTATTGAGTTGGCAACTACTCATCTGAATCAACAATTCCAAGAAACTAAAACCGAAATTACCCTTTGACTATGAGACCTTTATTTAGAGAAATGAACTGCTCCGGCATTGAACCTCATTAACATTGTTCATGATGCTGTTGCCTGTGAAAGAGCCATTCTCCATCGAGATGCATTTCATAACCAGCTGACTTATTAATTGGCAAAGGGTGTCACATCAATGGATCTGGTCGCTGCTCATTTTTTCATTAGGTCACACACCTTTGACCATGCCCATCATTTAGAAAAAAATTGCCAGTAAGGATCTGTAAAAGACGGACGGGCCCAATCACCTTTTGTCAGTCAGTCTAATATATTCATTGGCCACGCTAAAGACAAGCACCCAGCAAATCGCACCACGCCAGCGAGCTTGATCTTAGAGACGATTTGTTATTCCTACTCAAGGATGCCCCCAGTGACAATTAAATCTTACACTAATGACATTGTGTAACATTGCCTTACATGATTATACTGAACTATCATTGCCTGCAAGCTGAGCTTAGTGGTGGAACTAAACCCAATATTTTATTATTAACTGAATCAATAAATTATATAAACTACCGACCGGGGTCTCAATCCTGAAGAGGCCGATAAGCATCCTGCTTATTAGTCATTTACATTTACTTACACTATTTGTTAGTAGTTACTTTTTGAATAATAATCAAATAATGGGTTTAGTCCACTCTCTAAGAACATTAAATACTCGTCTTTGATGCTTAATACTTTATTGGTAAAATAATATATATAACTACAATAACATTATCTACTAAGATACGATCACGGTTATTTAAAAATTAGGTTGGTCAATGAATAGAGCGTGATCAACAACAAACAATAGCTATATTGACCATTCTCCAAGTATATTATAAATTCTCGTCTGCAATACTTGTTACCATAACAATATAACCAATAATAATATCAAATACAAAATTACAATTACGGTTATTTAAACACTGTAATGGTCAACGAATAGAGCGTTTTGAAAATTCGTTTAGGTATAGTAGACTTTCGACAGTGATTTCAGACAAAGATGGTTCCATTATTCTTGAAGTAAATCAATCCTAGAGAAAAAAATAATATTACACATTTCACAAATAATAAATCTGCAATTTTGTTTTCAGGTTTTGTTTTTATAAGAAAAAAACTTCTAAATTGTATCTCATGGCACATTATGTGAATGTGGTTCAAAAACGCTTACACAACAGAACAGAACATTTTTGACTATTTTAATTACATTTCCCACACCCTTATACGGCATGATGACATCACAATAGAGCTTCACCGATAGATGGCATGACTTCTAGAAAACAAATGTGATGTGGCTCTGTATTTACAGGAATGAAGAGAAGGAAGAACAACAGATCTCATCGAGAAGTGGTCGTATTAATAACCCTTGTATACAAAGACATACTAAGATAACGAGATGTAAGCATAATAATAGTAATGCAAACCTGCTATGGCAGACTGAAATCCAGCTTGGTAAATGTCAGCTTCATTCTGTGACCAGTTAGGTATGGCATCCTCATAATTATCATTAACATCAGGGCCTCCCACTAGGGCTCCATATAATATGTTTGGGTTTGGTTTATTATCTCTCATAACACCAAAATTACAGGGTTCTGGTGGGGTTGGGCAGGAGCTGGAGAAAACACCAATAGATAATTGACGTTTTAGTAAATGCCAAATATTAATTAAGGTATCCTACATATGCTAGTTTTTCGACAAAAGTATTGTTCATTTTTAGAATTGTATTGTTTCTGAATTTTATAACAGTGTGATATTTAATAAAGTTAAACTACATTATGTTCTTACCGAACTTTCAGGCGCCATATTTAACTACTATAACTCACATCTAGTGCACAATGTTATATATATGGTCACACGATTCACGATAGCCTCTAGATGATATGGGTACACCTGGTAAAGCGATATTCTCGGTGCGAGTAGCGATAGGTAGGGCGGGAATCATTACGTGACATTTCAAACGTTATGTCTACGTCTAAGTTAAGTACAGTAAACATTGACTCACCTTGCCCTGTGATGGATTCGTATGGGTGGTTTCATTCCAAATCCACCTACAAAACTTCTTCCAGTGTCCCCGAGAATGTAGTGAAGCTGTCCTCTGGCAAAACCAAGGTACGTGTCTACGTTTAGTCCATTCTTGGCTGCAACCAGGGACAAAAAGGCCGCATTTGCTGAAATATAATATAATAGTATAACACTGATTACACTAGTAAAAACACTGTCATGATTAGGGTAAGGTACACCCCTCGGTGGTTTGGATTATCTAAATCAAGGAAGTGTAAAAATAGTCAAATTTGCGAAGGAGCTTGTACAAAACAATCTATCTGACAATGTACCAAGCACAAGTTTGAACGATTTGTAGCACACGTATGTACTATTCGTGAGTTCCACACTCCTATAACCTTAATGTATCGTATTTCTCCCCCATCGTTACCCACTGACAGAAACGTGATGGCTGGAAAATGATTAAATCCGCCAACACATTTATTACACACAACATTACTGGCGAAAGTTGGTTATCGATGTTCGGATAATAATAAAAAAATAGTTTGGGACAAATGTTCTAAAATAACACTCACGAATGGAGTACTGCTAACAAAACATACCTGCAATCTTTAAAGTTTGGAAGGGAGATCTCCAAGCAAGGCCTTTGGGAGTGTAAGTGACTGTACCACCAGGCAACCATCCATTTAAAAAGTCCTCAAACCCGGTCCCATACTTCATATCTTGTGTACGTAGATAGAGGAGCAGCTACCAAGTAAAGTATGACATTGTTGATAACACAGTCAACATTAGTATGATCGTATTACTGGTATATTTATATTTATTAAAACAAATCATGCCTGTGTATTCACTCATGAATTTGGAAATAGATCAGCGGTCAGCAGCCTATTCTTAACGATATGTTACAGGAAAATCCTATAATTAATCATTAAATCGACATGCATAATTTTATTGTTGATTCTACTTGCATGCTGAAATTGAGCGGGGTAAGTCCATCCATTGGGCGAGTTATTGCGACGTCACGGCGTATAA